AGACCAGTGAGAGAAGACGCAATGTTGAAGAGCTTGAGGACCTTAACAACAACTCGTACAACGTCGCCAGCTGCAATGCCTACATCGTCCATGAAGGCAAGCGTACGCCCTGGCAACGGTTTGACCAGCCGATCTATGACCCTCAGCAGCGGGTCGAAGCACAAGTTAAGGATAAGGGCTGACAATGGACAACCCTGCTTCACACCAGTCTCGATTTTGAACCCTTCAAAGACCCGCCCACTCATCAAGATCTGAACATCCATATCATAATACAGTTCTCGAAGAGCATTGATATAGTTTGCAGGGATGCCTAACGAGCTCAACACGAAAAAGATCCACGAGTGCAGCAGCGATGGGAATGCAGCTGCTAGATCCAGGAGGAACAGGCCAGCACTCTCATACCCTCGAAAACACGCATATTCCAGAAGAGAGCCCTCCAGATCGAAAATGTTGTTGAGGATGTTACGCTTTTTGATACCGCCAGCCTGGAAAGGGACCACCGGAAACCGAGCTTGAAGGCCCAGGGGAACCGCGAGACCGCCAGAAATCAACTTATTGTCGGTATTCGATAAAACGATCGGACGGGTTTGTGCAGGACCACGAGCAACCGTAAGAGAATCTTCCTCAACATTCTTGGGGGGGAAGACGACATAGCCGTGGTTGAAGGCAGGAGGAAGACGAGCACCACGCAACAGAGCGACATAGGCTTCATATAAGGCATCACGAGTGAGAGTTCCACCGCACCGCCATGCAGAATACGGAATGCCATCAGGCCCAGGGGCCGTATCACGTTCTCGATGAGATATCAGACCAGAGAAATCAAAAGAGTCGATCTCCCACTCGATGCCGCTGCTCACCGTCCCGATGTGCAGCTCTAAAAGCCGACGGGCCTGAGCAACAGTATCACCTAGCGCAGCGCCGAGGGGGCAGGACATACCATCCAGGGGTTCGAGGCTCGAGGCGGGAGTCCCATGGGAAGGCGAACCAGCGCCAACACACGAGAACCCCGACCGGGAGCCCGACGAACCCGAGGGGGGCACGTCCTGACGCCCAGCCGAAGGAACAGGTGGTGCTCTATGTACCGCAGCCCAATGTCTGCGGAGACTAGCAACACTATCTTCAAGAGACTGAGGTTGGCCGTCGTCAGCCACACAACCTGCTAGAGAAACTCGCCGACGCTTGGGACTCCAGCTACGCATACACTGCTGGATACGAGTGATGACAGGGTCATTCCTAGACACGGGCCGTCCGTCATGAGCCTCGAGAGCCTTCTGAAGATCCTCCTGAAGAATTTCCAGATGCAACTCAGCAACATGTTGATGGAAACCATTTCTGTCCGTGAAACCGTCGGGGGAGGCGAACTTCTCTAAGGTAGGATAAGCAGCAAGGCATTTACGTACCACAATAGACATAGTACCAGCACGCAGGCATCGCAGTAGTTTCAGACAAACAGCTACACGTTGATGAGGAGAGACGGGACCGAAACGATACATACGACGCGTGAGAACTTCTTTAGTGTAAAACATGCAATCCTTCAACTCCTGGAGCCTCTCGAAGGGGTCGTCGGAGAGACCAAACTTATCGGCGGCAGCCTCCAGTATCTCACAATAGTCAGGGTGAGCCGTGACCCATCTCTGGATGCGAGGTGGCCCGACACAGCCTGGGGAGAGCTGTACAAAGACAGGAACGTGGTCAGAGGGTTCAAACTCAGCCATCGGGTCGCCAAGTACACCAGTGCGGGGATGTAGATCGATCAGATCTGCCGTGGGACAGTTCGTGTATATACGATCCAATCTTCCAAGGCTAGTGGTCTTACGACAACGATGCGTGAAGTCAGCTTGCTCGACTTCGGCGAAATCCCGAAATAGCTGATGGAAGGTGTTGATCAAACTAGGAGCCTCACCACGCGAACTCCCGTCCGCGATAGAAACTCGATGCTCGCCGCTCTCCAAGCAGTTGAAATCACCACCAAAGAAACAGAGAGCTTGCTCAGCGCCACGAACATACCGACGGATTTTGCGATACAGACCTTGCCTAACGAGAGGAAAATGAAGTGGGTTGATGTGGACATTACCAATCTGCAGAGTGCCCGAGATCCCAGAGAGAGTGAGACACATGATGCGCCCAGCTTCCATAACCTTCGGAGTGACTTGGGAGAAAGAGGAGTAGAGCCTAGAGCAAATCGAAACAGTGACCCCCCCCGCCCGATGGGACGAACAGAAGCTGCCGAAATGCTTAAACTTAGGGAAATCTCTACGGAGGCTCGTGAGATCTTGACGGGTGCCGTGGACCTCTTGGAGCAAGACCACCTTATCCGAACGCCGGCGCTGCAGCTCATGCTTGCCAAAAACGCTACCGAAATACGCAGATGTGTTATACGAGCTCATGCCGAAACTAGAATTAAAAACGAAGGGCTTGCACCACTCAGAAGGCGGAGGAGAGGGGGAAGAGGAGGACGACGAGGACGAGGAAGAGGAAGAGGAAGAACTACCCTCGTCAGAACCCCTACCGTCAGAATGGCAGGACCCAGCATTCCGACTTTTCGACAAGTGGCAAGAGCGAAGACAAAAATTCTGAGAGGCCGTCAGTCCTTGAAGCTGCCGAGGAAGATCCTAGCGCGGAACATCGACCTGAACCCGCTCGCCGAACGAGGCGATCTTCGCATCAGGGATGCCCAGGTCCTTGAGATTGGTGGCGAACGGCTCCACAGTGAAGTCACCTGATAGATCCCCACCAACACTTGTGAGCTGCACCAACTTGATATACTCGTCATTGTCCACCAGGAATACAGTGCCTTTGAAAGGGTCAGTGCCCAACTTGTAGTGTGAGAGCCAACAACCATGCTCATGCAACAGTTGATTCGCCACGGCCCACGATTTAGACAAAGCAATCTTCTTCAGACGAACAGGAAGAGGTTGATCGGAGCCAACTCGCAAAGTGTGCCGCTTCATGCTATCTTTGTTGTCGCACCAGTACGGAGGTTTGTCGCGAGCCTCAGCGATGAATGCCTTAGCGAGCTCAGCCGAAGGGAAGATGATAGGGTACGTGTACTTGCCGTTAGCAGGCTTGCACTCGGTGTTGGCCAACGAGGGGTACACAGGAACGATCTGGGCGAAGTGCTTCTTGAACGCCGAGGCCATCATTTCCCTCGGGAAACCACGAAGCCAAACACGATTGTCCTGCCTGCCTATCGACGACAAGTCCGGAGCCGATAACCGAGGGGCAACTCGTCGACCATTATCAGAGCTACCAGATGCATACGACGTCGGAACACGGGACAAGGACGCGATAGACGTCTGGATCGTTGCCAATGTAGCATTGATGTCCGAGATCTTCTTGTCGGTCTGCGCGCTGAGCACGGAGACGGAAAGAGCCTCGTCGACCATCTCCGAGTCATCCAGCTCACGAGAATTGATGGTGTCGATCTGCTTCTGCAAGGCGTCGAAGCGCGTGTCGATCTCGGTGCGCATCTCCGTGCGCATGTCACTCATCTCCGTGGTGAGCGATGCCAACCGCTTGTCATGACTACAGACCGCGTTGCTAACCTGTGCCATTGACGCCAGCAGCTGATCCATTTTCTGATCCATGGAGAGGGCGCCTGACATCGCGCTGATGGAGCACCGTAGACGAAGGAGAGTACTGTATCAAACACAGAGGCAAAGTGCGTGTGGTGATAAGAGTGATGATGATGATGATGATGATGATGATGATGATGAGTATGTGAGTGACTGAGCGTGTGAGAGAGCGCGAGTGATGATGCTGATGTTGATGATGACAGAGTGTGAGTGAGTGTGTGTGTGTGTGAATGAGTGGTGATGATGATGAGTAAGTGAGTGAGTGTGCGAAGACAGAAGAGGAGAGGGGGTGGGGTGAGTGTTCCTGCGCGGGGTGTGCAGAGAAAACAAGAACCCCACTTTGGATGTGGGGATCAACTGGGCTTTGGGGGGGCGAAGGCCTTTGAGCCGAACTCCTCGGCTCGCCAGCGACGGCGGACCAGTTCCAGCATTAAGAATGAACTATTTACATGCACTCCTGTTTGACTGTCGACGACGGAAGAAACAGGCGCGCGGAGCCGCGGAGCCCTCGTTCGCAACCGGCTCGCGAGCAATGGATGCTGCGCGGCGGCAAAACCAAAACCCAAAAACCCACCTCGCTTCTCGGAGGACGAGCGCGAGGAGGCAACAGAGGAGCGGGGGGGAGAGACAGGAGGGGCCCGAGGGCACCCGAAATCCACGCGGAGTTCCCGCGCAAAGTAAAATGCGCCGAGTACGAAGGGTAAAACACGGAAGCCGAGGGCCTCAAAATCCTGACTGTCGGCAGAAGAGGGCCATATGAGACTCGCACGGGATCTGAAGACGCTGCTCCCGAAGACGACGTGAGCAGGAGGAAGAGGAGACAGAGGAGGGACTCTCCCCCCCCTGCCATCCCCCCTCCCCCGCGCCCCCCCCCCTCCCATCGCCCCCCCCTTCCCCCCCTTAGAGAGAACTCCTGCCGGTCAAACATCCAAACGTGTCGGTAGGACGGGCGGGGCGTTTCGCCGCAGACTTCCTCGTCACTTTTGGGCCTGAAGTTTAAGATTTAAACAGATTCAAGGATGGGGGGCGGGCGATGTGAAAATGTGGTCATCGCCTGAGCGCCGCGCGCACTCGCCCAAAATATATGATCATCTTCAACGATGGAGAGCGGCCCGTTTCCTTGACAGTCTTTGTCTCTCTCGACAGAACTCGAAGCCGCCACGGCCACTGCGCATCAAGCTCAGCAAACGCATTGCAAACAAAGAAAGGAGCATGGATTCGAGGAATGGATGGGGGGACGAAAAGGGGGAATAGGGGCCATATCTCAACGCCCCTCCTCTGGCCTCTTGCCGAGGCCCTCGCCTCGGCAGAACAGAAGTCCCCCTCGCTCACCGCGGGGCAGCCTCCACTGCATCTGTCCGAAGCAGACGCCGCAGCAAACCCGATCGATCAGCCGTCAACTGCGGCCGCCCAGTCCGTGGCATCCTTGGTCACGGTGCACCGGCGTCTCTGGGCCGCCCGCGCGGAACAGCGTCGCCCGTTTTTCCGGCAGCGCCGCGCAGCAGATCGAGCGCGCCCCGCACGTTGACATCCACCTCGTCCGATTGGCTGGCGCTGGGCAGTTCGACGTCGCATGGGCCATGGCCGCGCAGTCGTCGAGGTGGTACGCCAGCTGCACTCGCGGACGCCCCCCGAGGGACCGAGCGCCGTCTCCAGGCCCCGATGGCCCCGCGCTCTCGCCGTCCGTCTGCGACCCGACCTCCCAGGTCGCTGGTGGTGGCGGCACCGACGTCGGCTCCGTCGCCCCCGACGTCGCCGTCTCGACCATCGGCGCCGTCGGCATCTCCGTAGAGGAACACGATGTAGCCGATCCCGTCGGCGTCGTCGAATTCGTCGGGCACGCTCTGAGGTGCGAGCGCAGGTAGCCGAACAACAGACCGATGATAACGCAGCTCAGGGCCCAGGCGAACATGACCATCATGAGCGGCTCGAATCCTCCTCTGCCATGGTCAGGTTGCGCTCTCGCGCCGCTCGCCGGGATCATGGAAGCCCCCAGGAATCGCGCCGACCTCCCTGCACTCAGCGCCACGACCACCGCACTGCCGAACTTGTCGACCGCCGCCAGGCCGAGCACGGACCTGCACTTCTCGAGCGCCGCCTTGCCGAGGAACCTCGCGCCGACGTCTGGGGCATTCTCGATCCTGATCTGGCCCGTGCCCGCGCGTCGTTGGAGCCAGAGCCACTTCGCCTCAAGATGTCGTAGGCGTCCGCGTCCGCGTCGCGCGGCGATGGCGATGGCGGATGAGGCGTCGCACTGTCCCCATCGGCGCGTCGAAACCCACGAAGCGAATGATCTCCCGCGCGCAGAGCATCTCCGCCGCCAACTCTACTGCGCCAAGGTACTCGGCCTCGGGGCTCGACTGGGCCGACACCGACTCCGTGCGAGAGTGCGCGCTTATGACCACGCGGCACCACCGCGCGATCCCGCAGCAGGTCGACTTTCTGGTCTCGTGGCATCCTGCCCAGTGCGAGTCGGTGCTACCTCGGAGTCGCTTCCAGTCGTTGGACGCGCGGTTGGCCATCGCCATGTCGCGGGCCCCGTTGAGGTAGCGGAGGAGGTGCTTCAGGCACTTCACGTCGGCCTTCCGCGGCTCGCTCAGCCGCCGACCGAGCTCCTTCAGCGGGTGCGTCGCGCCCAGCCTCCTGGGGGTGGCGCACTGGATCTTCCCGCAGCACCTCCGACACGACGAGTGCTCCTCGCCGTTGAGCGGTTCCTCCGCGCCAGGCTCGGCCAGGTCTGGCCTGGCACCTGCCGCGCCCACAGGCCAGCAGTCAGGCACCCCCGCGGCCTCGAAGATGATTTCCACGTACCCGGGCTTGCTCTTCTCCACGATCACGTCGTCGAACCGCTGCAGCGACGAGCCGAAGTAGATCGCGGGGTCCTCGCCCAGGACGAAGCGGCCCTTGATCAAGAAGTGCTCCGCGAGCTTGTCGAACATCTCGCCGAGAACACGCCGCGTTGGACCGGCAGCATGAGGATCGTCCGCGTGGACCGCGACCCTGATCCCGTTCTCGACGCGATGGCACATGGTGGGCTCCGCCTTGCATACCTCGAAGCCAAGGCCAACCACGGTGCTCCAGAAACTCCTGGAATCGAAGCGCTGCCCCTCTGAGCCCGCAGAGAGACTTCTACAGCTTCCACGCGAGTCCACGTCCCATGCCGTGCTCAGGCGGCATCTCCACGTAGATCTCCATCCCGCCCTTTACAGGCGCGCGCACGAATGCCACGCTGAAGTCCGTCACCACGATCACGCGTGCATGAGCAGCAGCGCCGCCGCCATCAGCGTCCTCGCGGCCCCCGTCCTCGGAGCGCAGGCGAAGAAGTCTCCCGCCTGCGCGCCCCTCAACTGCCCCGCCACGAACCTGCTCCGCACGCCGTCGCCCTTCTCGCGGCGGCGCCACCTCGCGCCCCGCACTTTCTCGTCGCGCGGGCGCGGCGCGGGGCCCCCGGCGCCGAGGGGCTCCATGAACTTCGCCTCCCTCTTGATCCCCTCGTGGCCCATGTTCGGGTCGAGGTGCTCGCCGTCATCGCCGTCGCAATAGGCCTCCCCCAGCAGCTCGAAGTTCGGATCGCGCTCGCAGGGGGCGTGGAGCTCGGCGCCACCAGGGTAGCCCAGCTCAGCCACATTGGCGATCGTCACCACGCCGATCTTCCTCTCCTTGGGCGGCGCCTCGCCCCTTGCGGGCGCGCCGCTGTCGTCGCTGGATCTCTTGCCAGCCGAGCTCCGTGGCCCCTCGCTTCCCGCCGCCCTCTTGGATTCGGGCGCGGGCCAGCGTCCTCCGCGGCAGCCCGCTTGCCGCGCGGCGCGTTAGGAGGCGCCCCCCTCCTCTCCAGGGACCAGTTGGAATGCCTGCATGATATCCCAACGCATCCACTGCACCCGGGCGCGTACTCCGCCGACATCGGGTTCGGCAGCGCACGCGTGGGTGGTCTTCCCCTCGGCCTCTTCTGAACGGCCTTGGGGCCGTCGTCCTCGATGTCGCCCATGTTGGCGTCGCCGGTCGTCTCGGGCTTCCTGGCCTTCCCCTCCTGCGGACTCGCCGCCGCCGCCCCGGAGCCGGGCTGGCTCGGGCGACTCGGGGCTGGCTGCCCCTCCCGGCCGCCCGCCGCCGGCTGCCCCCTCCTGCGCCGCTGCGCCCGCCCCGGGCCGTGGAAGCCGAGCGGGCCGCGGCAGACTGAGGTTCGGGGCCTCCCTGCCCACCGCGGGCGCCGACGCATTGGCCGCCTTCATGTCCGAGGGGATGCCTCGCGTGGCCAGGAACAACTGCTTGTCGTAGCGCTCGCTGTCCACGAGCCTCCGCACGGACCTCGCCACGATGATGCCCCGGCGCGCCCCGCAGACGCGGGTGTCGTCCTCCGGCGACCTCCCCAAGTAGATCCCGTAGCCCCACGCGGTCTCGAACTTCACCGATGGGCCCGGGCCGTCTCCACATCGCCGTCTCGCCAAGAGGCGCGACCTTCTTATCGTCGTGCTTCTCGTTCTGGCGCTCGAACGACGTCTTGTAGTCCGAGCGATGGACCGGGCACCGATCGCGCGTCCACGACGCGCGGCGCACAATCCATGCCATGATCGGGTGCCTCAGCTCCATCACGATCCCGCACTTGCCCCCGATGGCTTTCCACCAGGTCCTCGTCGCCCCTTGGATAAACGCGTGGAACCTCTCCACCATGCCGCTGCTGCCCTGGCTCGTCTTCGGGGTAGTTCTGAACGTCGCCTCGTTGCCGACGTCCCGAGCAACCTTGATCGCCGCATCCTTGGCCGCGTTCTCGGGGCGGCCCTGCGCGATGTCCTTCTCGTGCCCCAGCTCCCCCACGTAGCGCTTGAGGCACTTGACACAAAAAGTGTCTCCACTGCCCTTCGCCTCGTACCAAACTGAAGCCGTGGCGTGGCATGCGTTGTCTATCGCGTTCATGACTCGGTGCGCCTCCTCGCCGCGACGCGCCTTGCCGAACGTGTAGTCGATCTGGACCACAGGCACGCCTTCTACCTCCGCGCCCCTCTCGCGTCGATCGACTAACCCTTGCCCTGGCACGCAGTCCGCGCACCGCGCGCCGCGTGGACAATGGGTAGCCTCGCGGGCCTCTCTCCGCCTTCGCGGGATCTCTCGGCGCTGTCACCGCCGTAGCATCCGGCCTTGCAGCCGGCTCGATGGGCTGGTCGACCTCCTGCGCCAAGAACGGGGTCGCGTCGTCCGCGGCCGCGCCGCTGGCTACCAGACCGCGCGCTCCGCGCTTCGCCCCCGGGCAGGCCATGGCCGTCGCGCGCAGAAAAAAACAGCCCGAACGACTTAATCAGCCCAAGCCGTTCTCGCCTGCTCTTCGAACCCCTCGCGATCGAAGCCGAGCCCCTCGCGCCGGATGGCGGGAACACCACTCCAGCACCTGCAATGTTGATACTGGTCAGGCTCAGGATCGGCCTCGTCGCATCTGTCGCGTGGACCTTCACATTGATCTCGTCGTCGGACTCCGTCTTCGGGTTCACCTGCTCGTCGCCGTAGTGCCTGATTTTCGCACCATTCGCGACCTTGATCTCCATCTTCGCGTCCTGGATGATCGGGTAGCCTGGGAAGTCCTGCGGACCGCGCACCGACCGATTCGCGCCCGCGTCGACCATCACGTCGACCGCCTGTCCCACGCGCGCGCCCTTAGAGCCGTCGCGCGTGCCGGCCGCGAAATCCAGGCCGACTCGTCGTCGCGCGCCTGGCACTCAACCGACGCGGCCGTTGCCGCAGTAGTGGTGGTCTCCTTGCTGGGCTGCGCTGGAGCGGGCTCGCACTGGCCCCGGCCCTTCTGGCCGCCCCAGCTCTTGCCCCAGTCGTCGGTGTTCCAGACCTCGTTCCAGCTGCTCCAGTCGCCCGCGTCCGCCTCGTTGATCTTGGCGTAGCAGTCCTTCTGCTTGTGGCCCCGCCTACCGCATCGGCCACAGTGTCCCTGGCACTTCTGCTTGCCGTCGCCCTTGCCGCCCTTGTCGCTTCCGTCCTTGCCCCAGCCCTTCGAATCTGTATCGTTGCCTTTTGAGTCTACCTTTGCCGCCTTTCCAGTCGCCGCATTTGCCGGGCCGTCGGTCCCACTGCCACTTGTCTGGGCCCAGCCGACGTCCATCGGCGCGGGTCCTCCAGGCATGGGCTGCTTCGTCAGCAGATATGTCTGACGTGACCTTCTTTAGTCGCGTTCCACTGGATGTCTTCCTTCGGGATCGACAAGAGGACGTGGTTCTTCAACGCCTCAGGGGCCCGCGCGATCTGCACCGCCGAGCGGATGTTTGTCGCTGGGGGCATCCTTGGACAACTCCTCGTACTCCTCGATCAGGTTCTCGAACTTTGCGAGGTTGCCCAGGAGCTCAGACTCGCCGCCGCGATCAACCTCCAGCACCTTCATCAGCCGCGAGAGGATGCTACCCATGTTCTGCGGGTCGTACTGGTAGCTCAGCCTCCTATGTGCCTCGAAGCCGTCCTGATTGCGAACCTTCCTGACGATGCCGAATGGCGTGCCCTCTGCATACATCGTGAGCATGAAGTATAGGCTGTGCGCCATCTGACGCCAGTCGTCGTCGTAGCTGCCGTAGTTCAGCGCGTTCTGGCTACACGCATGCCTTCCAACGCCTTCCTCCTCGGGTTGCCTATGAAAGCCTTGAACTTGAAACTCCAGTCGAAGTAGCCAGGTTTCCTCACATTGTCGAAGGACGGCGGCGTGCCCTTGTCACCAATCAGGGCGCCCATGATCTTGTCTTGGCGTTGCCGACTGGCCGCGCCCGTCTCCACCGCTGCCGTTGCCGTCACATAATGCCTCCTGGAGTTCCGCTGCCGTTGCCGTCGCATAATGCCTCCTGGAGTTGGCCAATCGTGGCATTCTGATTCTCGATCAGCGTGAGGAGTCTCTCGATGTCACGCTTGGCCTCCAGTACCTCTTGTGCCAAGGCCTCCACGCTCACTGCTGCGCCCAACCGCGCCCCGCTGCCATCTTGACAATATGTTTCTTTCTCGGCCAAGCTCGAAACCACAACGGCTACAGTACAGCAAGCCCAGCACACGGAAAGCAACCAAAGAAAGGGGTATGTATTGGAGGAGTGGATGGGAGGAGCGAGATGGGGGAATAGGGGCCATGTCTTGACACGTTTTGACAACGGGGCTCCCGCATTGGCGCCGCACACATTCGTCTTAAAAGTTCGAAACGGGGTGAAGGTGGGAGGGCTGCTTCTTTTCAAAATGCGGCTACTTTCTCAGCGTTAATATCAAAAGCTGCGCCATGTCACGAGTTACGACAGTCAGGACGCAAAGTCAAGCTGATTCGCAGCATTGGCGTTCTGGAACGATCTAAGGTTGAGAGGACGCAACAATCACGCAACAGCCATGGCCTTCGTCCAAGGAATTGCGTTCCAGTGCGATTGAAGATTTTCAAATGGCTGTCTTTCAATGGGGCACTTCCCGCAATTAAAACATTGTAGGGGCACATGAAAAGGGAACATGGAGGAAGGGTGAATTGCAGCATCGTTGATGAACCTTTGGTTTATGATGGTCATCCTCCTCCCTCTCAGGAGGAAGGAGCATGCGCTCCGCGACCTCTCCTCCCCGGCATGCTCCCTCCTCCAACTGATGCCCGTCCTACTTATCCTCCTCTTCCTGTTCCTACTACATATTCCTCCGTGTCATCATCATCCTCAGCAGCATCATCACCATCAAATCAGCATCAGCATCATCATCATCATCATCAGCATCAGCATCATCATCATCATCACCAATCAATACCACCATCACCGTTACCATCATCATCACCAGCATCATCAGCATCATCATCAGCATCAGTATTACCGTCGTCACCATGATCGCCATCGCTTCCCACCAGAATCATGATCAGCAGCTCCCCCATCCTCCTTCGCCCCGTCCTCCGCCCCCCCCTTGCGCGAAATCAGACCCACTGAGCGCTCCCTCGCGAAAACGGACGCCATCCCGTCCGCAGGCACCGTCGTGAGAGAACGGTGGCCGCACCATGGGGGCGTGCCAGCACCGCTGCCTGCCACGGGCGTGCCGCCTGCCCCTCCTGCTGCTCCGTGGACTCCGAAAAAACAAGTTCTTGAATTCAAAAAACAAACACTTAAATTCAAAAACACGCTTTTGGATTCAACGGCAAGTGTTTTTGAACTCAAAAAAACGGTCGTTTCAATTCACAACTCTGTTTTTGAATCCAATTACCAGTGCCCCTCTCCCCATCCCTCGCTCAAACTCCACACAGTGTGAGGTGCGTGCACTTGCGCTCGAGGTACCACTGAAGTCGAAGATAAAGCGTGGCACCTCCCTCGTCGTACACAATGGGGAAATCGTCTTGTGACCATCCGAGGATGTCGCTTTCTTCCACAGGTATGGAAGTAAGTACGGATGTATATCCTCCAACTGTAGAGCCATACATTTCGTCAACGAAATACCACGTGTAAGCCTCTGTAGCGCTTGGTCTCCAGATTGTGAAGGAGAACGCTCCCGCATGGGCAGCGAAGAACTCAAGTTTGGTCATTGTTCCAGTCACGCCCATGGGAATAGCAGCCGCAACAAGAACACCAATGTCAGTATCGTATTTCGTCCGGGGTATGGCGGGGTAACCTATTAGAACTTCTGTGGTACACAACTGTTCGGACGATGTATACGCATCGCAGTCAAAAGAATGCACATCTGTTGCTCCATTGTCTGAGTCAGTGCACAATGACGGGGGCTCGGCGCATAATACCCAACCAGCCCCAATCCCAGTGCTGTGCGTATACCATAGAATGTCCCCAGTTGGCAAAATACCATTGAGCTCCTGGCCAGATTTGTAGCGAACTCCATTCACATACAACTGGTCTACTAAAGGATCAAGGTCGAATGTGTGGACAGACAGGGGGTAGCTAGAGATAGGCTCATTGGCAAAAAGCCTACAGGCATGAAAACCAAGAGGCTTGCTGCTGTACACGCACAAGTCATCCACTGTGCACTCCCCATAGTCGACAGTCCAAGATGCGCGTGGGTCTTCACGAGTAAGCGGCACATCTGTCTGTTCAGCAAACTCTAAAATGCACGTTGCCCAACCACTTTTGCTCGGATACGGGTAAGCATGACCGCAATAGCACGGCCCGGCACCAAGAGTTGGCAAACTGGCTGCTATTGCATTTGGGCACTGCGCCCGGACTGCCGACACGCACTCCTCTGGCGAGGTCACATTTCCGACCGACTCTTCGACTCCGACTGAACTTGTCTCTACCCACTCGCACGTATTCCATGTTGTGCGTCCTCCTCCACAAGTGCAGCAAAGATCGCTGGCTGTGAAATCATCATCGTCTAAGTCGCCTGAGCAATCTGGAGGAGCTACGTATGCGTCAGCCTCTGTTGTCACGTAGAACATGTCACTCAACAAGTTCGGGTACATGCTGAACTGCACATTGTCAATGTAGAGCTGTATTGCATCGCGTGACCCGATGTTCAAACGCAAAGAAGAAGTGCTCTCACCTGCGATGAAAAAATGTTCGTATTTGACCCACTGCCCAAGGGAAAACACGGGGTGGAACCGAGTGCTGTTTCCAGCCAAAGTCACCAGCCTGTGATCCCACTCTCTCGTGGACGTGGAGTCTGGATACACAACGAACGCGGTGCGCACTGATTGACCAGAAACAAGCGCGAAGGCAGAAAACGACAAGACATACGCAACCCCCTCTGTTACGGTCAGATCCGTGCCCTCGCCTGGGCCGACTTGGATCGTTTGCCAACCCGGCCCTGAGAATAGGACCGACATTAGTCCACTATGAGATTCTTCTTGAGTCAAAACTGGACCTGCTCCACTTGAACCATTGCTTACCCAAAGCATTGGTACTTCCCCGGTTACGCCCATTTCAAAATCCCCATTGAATAATGAAGGACGGTGAGACGCAGTGCGACATACGCAACACATCACACTGGCTGTAAAATTGGTAGTATCATAGACGCCGCAATGTTCAACATGACCATGGTAAAAACGACAATCGTAACCCAGCTGGTCAGTAATACCATGTGTACGGTCCTCGCAAATAGCCTCGCAACGAATGCCGACGTCCTGGCTGTGGTCGCACTCGCTGTTCCCGGACAAGTCGTAAGCACAATGGAATAAGCTGTTTTCGGTGCCATTGCACGCAACATTGTTCAGCCAAATAGGTCCAACTCCTGACCCATATAAAGAAGATGAAATCTTGGCACCTCTGCCGAAGCCCAGATCCCGGCAAACAACAGAGGCATCCACGTCATCAAAGCCATCTCCGCACACCGTGCCCCAACGGCCGTCGTGATAAACCATCAGTCTTCCTGAGCTCGAATCTGGGCCGTCTGACAATTTCGTCCTCGCTGGAGTGTAGCCCGCGCCACACGCGCAACATACCATCGTAGCGTCGATCCCACCAACAGCCCAATACTCGAAAGTTTGCTGGTCGCGTCCCCATCCATTTCCATAGCCGCCAGACCTGGTGCACAAGTCGGACTCTGCATACTCACCACAGCCTCGGCCTCCAGCGTCTACCCAATCAGATAGACTGTCCTAGGGAACAAAAAACGCCAAAAACATCACCTTTTGGCGCTGCGCGCGGACTTATTGGATCTGCGCTGGACCCCCCCCCCCCTGGCGCGCGGAGCGCGCCAGGGGCGGCGCCGGAGGCGCCGCCTGGGGGGCCAAGCGCGGATCCAAGAAATCCGCGCGGAGCGTCAAAGTTTCTGTTTATGGTGTTTTTTCTTCGTCGATGTCCGTGCACGCCAGAACAGGGTCGCAGTCGTAGGTGTACGCTTGGCCGTCCAAGCAGATGCCGCCCAGCGAGAGGCAGTTGGCAATCCACTCCGGGACGCTCCAGTGCGCCCCTCCGCCGCAGACGTTGTCTTCCAGCCGCGTGCAGGGCCACCGGAGAAGCTGCCCCTGGTCGATCTGCGTGGACAGGCTGTTGTCCTAGAAGACAAAACATCGCCATAAACATGAACTGTTGGCGCTCCGCGCGGATTTCTTGGATCTGCGCCTGCGCAGGAGCCCCCTCCCTGGCGCGCGGAGCGCGCCAAGCGCGGCGCTGAAGGCGCCACCAGGGTGACCCAGCGCGGATCCAAGAAATCCGCGCGGAGCGCAACAAATTCATGTTTATAGCGTTGCTTCTTCTTCGATGTCCTTGGCCCGGCAGCAGGAGCTGTCGTCGGTTGGAGCAAGCACCAGCCGACAGCCTCCGCCGAGCGTCGTCGCCTCGCACTGGATACCGACGTCCTGGTCATGGCCGCACGTATGGTCCCAGCTGGCTGCACAAAGCCCAAATGTCGCCTCACTGCCATCGCAAGAAACATTACTCAGCCAGACGGGGGCGATCTCACTGCCGCTTGCAAATGCGTCGCTGACCATGATGCCACCGGGCAGACCCATGTGATGGCAGACAACTTGGGCGTCCACGTCGTCAAACCCATCGCTGCACACTGTTCCCCACGCGCCATCGTAATAAACCTCCAGTCTGCCAGACATCGAATCGGGACCACCAGCTAGCCTGATGTAATCCACGGTGGTTGGGGCTGGAACTGGAGCCACGACAATGACCAGGCCATGCGTGCCAGCCGGGACGCCTCCGCCAGTCACCAAGCTGACTCCCGAATACGAAACCAGTTGATGTGAGGCGAATCCAGAGCCGCCGCCACCATGGCCATGGAAATTATTTTCTCCACCTCCGGCGCCGCCCCCGTAGTAG